TTGTATCATTGACACTTATAAATTTACAGGTGATCATGTATTGTGTTATATTATATTTCTGAAAAATTTAAGGGGTAATTATATAATAATTTTGGACGATCTCGGGTGGTTAGATACTTATGACCGCTACTGTATATAATCTTTTAATAGTTATATATTTAGTATTATTTGCATTATAATTTTAATTGACATATTAAAGATTATATTATAATTGTATAAAAGTTCATTATTTGTCAAAGAATGTGATATAGTAATAATATTCTATTAAATTAATTTTTATAACATTAGCATTTATAAATCAAATAAATTCTAAATTCTTTATTAGTAATATTAATAATTGGATAATAAAGATGATTATTAAAATTATTGTATATTAAAAACTTTTAAAGAATTATCATGACTTGATTTTTTAAGTTTATTAGAAGAACTTGAAAAATGTTTATAAATATAAAACTTAAAAGAGTAAGGTTAAGTTTCATCTTAAAAAATTTTTCAAATTTTAAATCATAAATATTATAAAACTTATTATTCAAAAGATCATAGAAATTGTAATGAGAATATATATCATTTTTCTTAAAATACAAATATAAAAATTATGCAGTTAAAAAATAAATATTTTTGATTTATATATGTTTTACATTAGATATTATCTAATTTGTGATTTAAGTAACTAATCTTATAATTTACATTAAATAATACTATATTTTTACTTATATTCATAATAATTGCTAGAATTTATATTATATAATAAACCATATTTTATTTTTATATAATTTATTAAAAAAGAAATTTATTTAAAAACTTTTTTTCATAATACTTAACATAATAAAATATTTATATTATAATAAATTATTTTAAGAAAATAAAATTCATGTAAACTCTATACATTTAATTCAAAAGAATTGAAATTGTTTTTATTATTTTTAAAAATTTTTTACTTTTTTAACTCATTATTTAATCACTTAATTAGAAATTATCATATTTGAAAATCTTTTGAAAAGAATTTTCATTTAAAGACGTACTAGATTTATTATTTATTTAAGAAATAATTTTATTATTTTACAATTATCCTAAAAAGTCATGATTTCAATATAAAAGTTTCTTTTATAAATACAAATAATACAATATATTTTTTTAATTATGATCTGATCAGAAATCTAATTTTTATGAACTAAAAAAAAATGATTTTGATTTTTATTTATAAATCTGATTCAAATCTGAATCTGAATCTGATTTAAATAATCTGAATCTGATCTGTTAGATTTAGATTAGATTTAAATAGATCTAGAACTATGTAGAATTCTATCTTATAATATAAATAAACAGTTTCTTTTTAAATTATTAAAATAATAATATATATTAAAATATTATATTTAAATCTATTTTTCTTAAAAAATTAAAACTTATTCTTTATTATTAATTAAATAAAAAATTGAACGTATTTCAATTTTAATTATTAAATTTTGAAAAATTTGAAATCTATTTTTATAATTTTTTTTAAATCTAACATTATTATATTTTAGGAATAATTATATACTATTACTAGATTCTAAATAAGTTAAATTTATTTTAAAGATAAGAAATAAAATTTCTTAATAACAATTAAAACTTAAATAAAACTATATTAAAATTATAATAAGAAATATAACAAAAACCTTTTGATATAAAAATAATTAAAACTGTTAAAATTATATTAAAAGCATAAAAAAAAGGTATAATAAAATTATTTTAAAAAGGATTCTATAAGTCTTTATAATCTATTTCATTATTTGATTCAACTTAATCTGACAGTTAACTAATCAAATTATAATATATTAGAATGAGTCATTATTCAAATAAAATAATAATGAATCATTTAAAAGAATAATAATATATTATTCAACTAGAATAATGATAAATTGTTTAACTAAAGTGATAATATATTATTAACTAAAATAATAATAAATCATTTAAAAAATGATTTAATATTATTATTGATTGTGTTCAAGAAAAATAATTAATTATTAATTTAATTAAATTATATATTATTTTTAAAAAGAATGATTTTTTATAGAATAATAATTATTATTATTATTTTAATTTATAATAATTAATTATTATTTAATAAAAAATCATTCTTTTTAAAAATAATATATTATTATTCATTAAAAAGATTTATTATTATTTAAAAATAATTTATTATTGTTCAATTAAAATAATTTGTTATTATTCAAGAAGAATATTTTATCATTATCCTTATTAAACAATCTAATACAACTTTTCAAATTATTCAGTTTATTCAAAGTAATCTGAATTAATCCAAAGATTTTTAAATTAAATAGGTCAGATCAAATTAGAACAGATTACCTGATTTGACTTAAAAAAGTATTAAATTAAGTTAATTAAATAACTTATACTAACCTAACCTATTAGTCACTACTCTTAAGATTTAATAATACTATTATAATTACATAGTTTTAAATAATAAAAAACTAATAAAAACTTAATTTAAAAAAATCATTTAGGAAGTTTGCTAGAAAATAGGGCTCAGAAAATTTTTTGACTAAAATTAAGACCTTATTATATTTTAATCTAATAATATCAAAAAAAATTCTCAAAGTCATTTTCTTAGCAAACCTTCCTATTCTTCTTTATCTTTTAATTGTTATTCTTCAGAATTATTTAATTATTATCAGAATCTTTAAAAGTCTAATTAAATTTAATAAAAAACATTATTAATAAGTTTTTAATATTTTATTAGTATATTATTTTACAAAAAAAATGTGCTTTTATTTAAAAAGTTAATTATTGAATGATCAAATAAACTGATCAAAAAATTGTACACAATATTTGGTTATTGCATTTTGCAATCAAAATCTAAACGATCAGAAATAAATAAACCTATTATATATTCTGAGCTCAATTAGCACAAAAAGAATTGTCCTTTCACTTTCACTCAGGACGAATAATAAAAAAAATCTCAATACAGTACTAATTATGTGATTGATAGATTAAATACTTAATGGATAGCATATAACTAATAAAATAATATAATTTTATTTTAAACGTTTTATTAATATTATTAGTAATGCTATTTTTAAACTATTTTTACATTATTATTTTTCTTTTTTTTTTCGAACATTCATTTTTACAATAATAAAAACTTAGTATCATAAGAGAAATCACGTGATTTGATATTCCGAATTTATTTACTTAGAGTTCGGTTTATAAAGCAAAAATTTGATTTACGATTTGAAAACAAAGTGATAAAATTAACTAATTTTAAAAGATAAACAACAATCAATCAGAATTCGACGTTCTTTCAATTTAAGCAGTTCAATTTTTTTCAATAAGAATGTTTAGAACAAAAATGCTAAAACGAATACCATTCAATATATTTCATGCAAATCGAATAAGCCGATTTACATCTCTTAATGAATCTCGAGAAAATGAGACAAGCAAACCAAAAAAGAAGAAAAATAAGAAAAAAACTGGTAAAAAAAAAAATATATTTTTTTTTCAAAAATAAGCAATTAAATACGTTTTTAATAATCTTAGAAAGAGATCCGAAACTGCCTCCTTTGTTGCCAAAAAAATATGTACGTTAAATAACACGTAATTTCAATTGCTTAAATGATTTTAATTTAAAACAAATTTTTTTTTTAAAAAACTTTTAAAGACACATTCGATCGATACAGACACGATCCAAAAAATGTTCACCGATAAAAAAAATATCTCTGGAACAGTTTCCACTGATTATTTTAGTTTGGTTGTACGGAGATGGCGTGAAAATGACAAATTTTTTAGTCAGTAAATTTTTATTTATATTTCTTTTTAAAAACCTATAAATTGACTATCGAATTTGTGAATTTGATTGAAGCAAAGAAAACTCAAGAGCCAATTGAAAATTTTCGATTGCAAATTGTGGTATCCAAAAAGAATGTATCTAAACTAGCAGTAGTAAGAGCTCGTATTAGAAGGAGGATTCGGGAATCAGCAAGATTTGCTTTACCTATCGTAGGGAGAAAAAGTTAAGTATTGTTATCTATAATTGTTTGAGAGTGATTAATGAATAACCATGATCTTGTTTGAATCGAAATTAGGACATGATTATTTATTCTTTGCTAATTTGAAAGCGTATGATGCACCCTGGTTACGACTTTGTTCGGTAGTTGAATCCGCAATCGGGAATCCAAGGTTATATCGTGAAAAAAGTCATGCAAGTGGTTTTAGAGGTCGTAGCTATACTGGTAATTACGCCTCAAACGAAAAGCAAGATCTGGATAAAAACAGTTGAAAATAAAGATCATCAAAAAAGCCAGCTATAAAGGACAAATAAGGTTATATATATATATATATTTCCAACCTTTTTCTCTTTGGTTTGATTCGTGATCTGTAAAGCTATATTCTGCAATGAAAATACTATGCTTCCATACTTGATTCACTTTTCTCCCCCCATTTTTCTTTGTCTAATCTTTCTTGTTCAATCATTTTATTCAAAACAATTGATTCAAAATCTTTATATCCAAATGCTTGCTTCTATAAGAAATAATAAAATTTTAATAGATCATCAAAAAAGCGAAAATTTTTAATAAAATCAAAATCTTACTGATGAAGGTCTTGGTGTTGAGTTAGGTCTGTGCGTTGTTGATGCTTTCGACCTTTGATCGGAAAGTCGTAACTTTTCTTCTTTTTCCCGCCTTCTTCGAGCTGTTTCCTCTTTAATCCGTTCAATCTTTGCCTCTCGAGATTCCTGTGTAAAAATTGTTGTTTTCTTCGACTGTTTTGCAGCTTTCTCTCTTTCCTCAAGTTCTGTAAGAAAAGAAAATAAATTTATGCGGCAGTTAATAATTGAAATAATTTTAACTAATCACATTAGAGACCAAAGATTCACCTTCTTTCATAACCTTCCGTTTAGCATCCAACTTTTCAAATCTCTTCTTACTCTCAATCTTTGCTTTATAAATATTATCATATTCCAACTTCTTTCGTGGATCAGTTAAAGTTTCGTAAGCAATCGATATTTGATGAAATAATTTGGTTGCTATTCAATAATAATTTTTAGGTTATAGAACTTTTTTATTTTTTTTTTTAAAAAAAAAGAAAAGGTCAAATATAAACCTGCTTCAACATTATTTATATTTTTATCAGGATGATATTTAAAAGCGTTACGACGATATGCCTTATCAATTTCTTCTCTTGTACTATTGTAATTAATTTCAAGGAGTTCATAAAGATCTAGGTCTTTAATTTCTAAATCCATTTTTGAATGAAAAAATTATTGGAAAACATCCGCATTCTACTTATTAGTACTTTTCACGTATCAATAATCACGTGATGAGAAATTCGGTATTTTTCGGAGCTGCGTAATAAACGTAACGATAATTTATTGATATTTATCTCTGGGCAGAAAATTCTGGATGATTTATTGAATAATAAACAAATGTTGTTAAAGAGTAAATCTGTACAAAGTAAAAAGAAAATAAAAAAAAAAAAAAAAGAATTTTACTCAAAAAGCAATACTCAATTCAAGAAAATATGGTAGACCATAAATAAATTATATAGCCTTATAATTATAATCAAATTAATAATTAAGTATTCAGAATCTATTGTTTTCAGAGACAAATTCGAATTGGTAACATCAATTTAAACACTAATGAAATAATTGTTTGATATCGGTACTACTAAAAGGAAGTCCACATTTTGCACATTTACGGTTACGTGCTTTTTCTTGTGCTTCAAGACATTCCTTACAAAATGTATGCATACATTTCAATAAGCAATGTGATTTGAATCGAATAGCACAAGACGAACATTTAAGTAGTTTCTTGTTGATTATTAAACATAAATTTAAGTAAATTAATTATTAATGTTTAATAAAATTTGAAAAAAAAAATGCGAAATAAAAATTTACCTCATAATTTTGAATTAGTTGTTGCTCAGTCGTGTCTGATACTTGTGTCCTTCGATGATCTTCAGCTTGTCTTTTATACATTTCAACTTCTTCAGCCAGTCTTCTTGACTTGTGGGCTTCTTTTTCACATGCTTTTATGCTTTCTTCGAGTTGTTTTTTCAACTAAAAATTTGTTGGGCCAAATGTAAGCTAAATTTATTTTTTTGCGCTAAATATTAAACAATTAAATAATTCAATAATATCACACCTCGTTATGTGTAGTCATATTTCTTTCAATCTTTTCTTTCAAATCTTTGTTCTGTTGTGTAAATTCATGCAATTTAAGTTTATGTACATCTACAACTTGTTTGGAACATCCTAGTTCTTTGTTGGCATTGTCCTGTCAATTTGAAAATTTGAATCAAATCAAAATCACTTTAAAAATGAAATAATTTGTTAATAAATAATTTCCAAACCAGTTGTGATTTGAGATTCTCTTCCAGATAACCTTTTTGACGTAAGAGATCCGTTTGATTTTGAATAACCGTAGATAAATGATTCTTTTGTTTTTTCAAAGAAACATTTTCCATCCATATGGAGTTCAATTTTTGTTTCACTTTTGCTTCCTGTTAGGTATTTATGTAAAATTTAATATCGACATAATTATAAACAATTATATTTCTATATATAATTACATACAGATTCTCGCGCATTTTGCAACCTTTCATCATGTGCTATAATTTCAAAAACTTTGACAGTATTTTCTTGGTCTTGACGTGCCCAGTGATCACCTAAAACTTCAAGTTCTTGTAATAACTGCTTTTCATTCTATAACATAATGATATGATAAAAAAGACAAATGTTATTTCTTTCATGTGATATCAAGAATAAATAATAATAATAATAATAATAATACAATACTTTTTTTAGATAATCACAATCTGATTCTATTTTCTCAATCTTTCTCTCGGCTTCTCCGATCTTTGAAGTAAGTATATGTAATGGATCATCACCTGGATCTTTAATACCGTATTTCTCATCATATTCATCCAACCTACTTTTTAATTCTTCCACTTCTTGTTTTAACCTAGCCTTGGAAGCTATAATATCGTGATAATCTCCCATTTCAAAATTGTTCTTTAACTCATCAATTTCTCTTTGAAGTTCGATTCTTATTTTCTCTGATTTACTACAAAGATTTATTTTCAAAAGTCAATTCATTATTATAAATTACACAATATTAATCCAAATAATATACTTGAAAATTTACTTTAGTTCTTCTTGTAGATGATGGTCATATGATAATTGTCTTTTTATTAACTCAAATGAATTTTTTCCTTGTTGAATTTCCTCATAAGTAACATCCGGTGGTTCTGCAGGTGTACAATAAAAATCGATTGCTTGCTTATTACCTTCATTAGCAGCTATCTTCATATTAAGCCTCTGAATCTCTGTCATTAACTGACGTATTATTGTTTTTCTATCATTAGCGAGTACCCTTAGGGCAGATATTTGACGAAATTCTTGCGGTAACATTGCTCTCAATTTATCCACTTCCATTGAAACATCATCTCTTTGAGCACGAATTCGATCTAGATCAAAAAGAAGCTTATTCAATTGATCTTCAGTTTCTTTTATAGTTTGTTTTGTTTCTTCCTAATTAAAGTAAATAAATTAAAATGAATCTTTATAAATAAATAACTTAAATGAATAAAAGTAGTAGTATACACAAATTGGGTTGGCTCAAAACTCTCTCGACCACAAATTAAACATGAAGCGCTCGGTATTTATAAACACAACCTTTATGAGCTCGAGAACAACCCAATGAAATTTATGAATACGGCCAGCTTATGTTTTATTACTAAGGTAATCTCATAAAAATATAAAATAAAATAAATAGAAATCTCACTTGTATTTGATTTGTGGCTGAGTTTCGCGTTGCTGTCATTTTTTCCATTTCACGACTATTCTGTTCCATAACCGTACGCATATAATCATAAGTATCTTTACAATGAAAATATTGAACTTGTAAACTTCGATAAACTTGCGAATCTATTATACGGTCTTCAGGAAGGTTTTTAATCTTAATATATTTTATATAAAAAAGTTCATTAACACATAAAATAATATAATAAACAATCTATATAATACATAAAAATAAATACTTGTTCTCGGAGATGATGAATTTCTTCCCTTAATTTAGATCGTTCGTTAGATAAATCTTCCAATTCTTTCAATCGTGACTCGGCCAAAAATTTAAATTGTTTTAAATTTTCTTCTGTTTGACGGTTACTATGATTAGACTATAAGAATAAAAATAGTAAAATTATTGAAATCAATATAATAATAATTTTTTATCAATTATTTGAAAATAAAAAAGCTAACCTTATCATTTTCATAAGCGGATGACGATCCGAAGATATTACTTCCAGGATGTGTCCAGAGTCCAAGAGTCACACTTTTAGATCTATCAAACCGCTTTTCTGCCTGTGCAAGCTCATCCTTAGTAATCTCAAGACGTCCTTCAACTTCCTCAAGTCGATTTTTTGTTTTTTCGAGTTCGTACTTAATAGTGCTCATCTATTTTTTTTTTTATTTTAATAAAATTATGACTGAATAAAAAAAAGTTTTAAAACAATGTAGATATTAAAAAAATTTAAACAGCCAGCATGTGTACCTCGAATGATACCGTGTGATGCTGTACATGTAATTCCTCGAGATCCTTCTGATTACGCTTATTAAGAAGATTCAGACTTTCATTTTCATTCTTAAGGCTCTGAATTACTTTATTCTCCTTCAAAATTGGATCTTTTTCACTTTGTAAGAATTTTATTAATTTATTTCTTTGTTCTATCCACGCAATAATCTTCTCTAGTAATACGGTAATAACTTTTTTAGTAATTCCAAATTTTTCTGTCAATGATTCCTCAATAATTTCGATAATTCCATCATCTTGCTCAAATTGTGATATTTGAGCAAGGAATTTTGATTCTTTAAGTTGCACTTAAACATAAACATAATCAAAAGATTTATAAATAAGATTTCATTGCATGATAAATTTAGAAAAAATTAACAAAAGATAAAAGTTTTAATATGTTTATTTTGTTTTTTTTTTTAAAAAAAAAAGAAAGAATTTAAGAACTATTAATTATAAACAAATTCATAAATTACATAACAATTATTATATTAATTACCGTCTGAAGGAATCAAGCTCGATAAATTTCCATCTTCATCAACTCTGGATATAATCATTCGTAAATCGTTTAAAAGCTAAAACAAATGTATTTTTTTTTTTTAAAAAAAAAAAAAAATTTATACGCATATAATACATTAAACTATGAAATGGAAAATTAAATACCTTGTTCCAACACCTATTGATAACACTTAAATGGTCTTCATAATTAATCTGCTTTTCTTTAAGTTGTTCGTTCCATTTATTTATCCGCTCACTTTCCCGTTTATACTCTCGCAAAGCACGAATAATAGCTTCCTTTTGATAACACTAATGTTATATATGATAAAATGTCATTACTAAACCTGTTTTTATTCTGAATAAAACGCTTTTAAGTTTCTTGAAACTAAACCTCGAGCCATTTTGGATCAGAAATATCCAGATTGGCAAAATCCTGGTAACTATTTGAGCTACTTGAGGAGGAGGTGGCTTGACCATTTACACCTTGACCTGGCCTTGATTGTTGTGATGATAAAAGTTGTCTCTTAGGAGGAGGACTTTTGTCCGATGAAGACGAACTTTGTTCAGAATAAGTTCTTTTTCTATCTTCCATTGTTTCCATGGTTATGATATATCTACGGTCTACGAAGAGATCAACAATTATTATCAAAGTCGAATTAAACACTTTCCTCCTCTTTGTTCCTATTGGTCATATCAATATGCAATTCAGGGCAAAATTATTAGGTAATTTCTTATTTGTACATAAATACTTAAAACAGTCATAAAACAGTTATTGACTTGATTTTTGACCAGCATTACGGTATTATAAGTAGTAACGTTTACAGAATACTTGAAGGGAAAATTTTATTATTTTATTTCAATATCTAAAATCCTTTATATTATATATATATAAGAATAATATTAATGAATAATAATTTAGAATTATTTAATTATTTTAAGGATTAGTAATAAATTTTATATAAGAGGTGTGATAGATATTAGTTAATATCTATTTAATATAAGAAAGTTCTCATAAGATAACCCAGATGTTATATAAAGGACTGATAAAATAATATTTAAAATTTCATATTACATATCCTGCATTTTTCATTTTTCAACAACTTTTTTATTTTACTATACCTTTTATATTCTTTTATTTTTCTACATTATAGAGTCAAGAAATTTTAAAATAATATATCATATAACTTTATTAATAAAAAGAAAATATTATTAAATAAATTACAATATAAAGAGATTAGAAAATAATTAATTAAACAGAAAGTCATAATATATAAACAATTAACTAAAATTATATATTACAAATAGTAAATTACATAACATAAGACAAATATAAATCATATAATATATTTTATAAACATACTGAATACAAAAAAATTACAAAATATGGAATAACAAATTACTGAAATTACAAAAGAAAGGAAATAATAAAAAAATTTTAAGAAAAGAAGAAAAAAAGCTAACTTATGAATATGTATGAAGATTATATAAAAATTCAAATAAAAGAAATTAATAAAGTAAGATTATGAAATACTTATGTAACTAATATTACTAAAAGAAAAAATAATAAAAAAAATAAAGAAAAATATGAATAAATAATATAAAAAATGCAATAATTATTATATAAAATATAAAAAACGTGAAAAAATGAAGAAATAATTATTGAAACTAAAGAAAAGAAGAAAAAAATATTTAAAAATAGATATGATATAATAATAAGAAAATGATAAAAACATTAAAAGATTCTTTTATTAATATTTTAATATTTTAAAAATTATATTACAATTTTTAATTTTGTATTAACTTAAAATATATAACTTTTGATTTTAGAAATTAGTGTATCTGTTAAAAAAAATTTTTTTGATAAAGTTGATCTAATAATAAAAAGATATTTAAGTTTAAAAATATAATTAATTTGAATATGTATGTACTTTAAAATTAGATAAATATTATTATGCCAGTTTTTTTTAGATCGCGGGTAAATCACCTACAATATTACAGTTTAGCAGAAGGTTTCCTTCACACAGAAGAGTAAGAATAAAGATACGAAATAAGAAATTAAAGAGAATCACGATAAACTAGGTGAAATACGTGCAAATAATTATTTAATAAACAAAAGACTAGTACTGCCTCTATCAGCGCGTCTGTACTAAACAGTTTATTTATCAAAAGAATTATTTTAGACAAAATGGTTCTCATCATTTTTACATTGATAAATCATTCCTATTTATATAAGAATACTTACTAATAACGATAAAATAAATAAAATAAAGAAAATAGATAAAATATATAAAATAAATATAATAAATAAAT